GATATCAAAACCATCACGACTGCATTGGAGAACCAACTCAAGTATCGAGATGTGCGTGAAGACAGCATCGATGATGGCGAGAAGGGTCGGGATTGGCGAATCGTGGTGGAGAGCTTGGCAAGGTTGCACGAGGCTAACGGTCGACATCGCGAGGCTCTCAAATGCTACATCAAGCTTCACGATGCGGATTCGGCTTTCAGGTTGATTAGAGACAACCATCTCGCAGAAGCCGTTACAGATGATATCCCCAGCTTCATTGGTCTCAGGGTTCCACCTGGTAAACTGAATAATATGACGGCAGAGGAGCTTGAACAGGCGACATCCGAAGCCATTACTCTGCTCGTCGATGAGGCTCAGCATGGTCTCCTACGCCCTGATGTTGTTGTGGAGCAGCTTCTTGCTCAGAAGCTCAACCTGTACATATACTTTTACTTCCGAGGTCTGTGGAGAGGCGAGGGTATTCAGGAACACGGCGGAGAGAACGTGGACCGATTGGTCATGGACAGTCAATCTTTGGTGGACAACTTCGCAGATTTGGCAGTCCATGTCTTTGCGACCTTTGATCGGACGTTGCTTATGCAGTACCTCAAGACTTCGGTCTCATATACATTCGAAAAGGTAAGCTGAGTTGATAAAGCCAAGATAGCGCTATGTTTACTGACTTGAAACAGGCGGTTCATGAGTGTGAGACGTTCTCATACTACGATGAGCTCGTGTTTCTATATTCCAAGACAGGCCAGATGAAACGCGCTCTTTATCTCATCATCGATCGTTTGAAGAATGTTCATAAGGCCATTGAATTTGCCAAAGAACAAGACGACCCTGATCTCTGGGAGGATCTCCTTAAATACAGCATGGACAAGCCCAGCTTCATCCGAGGTTTGCTCGAGCAAGTCGGTACAGCCATCAACCCGATTACTGTGGTGCAGCGAATTCCAGAAGGACTCGAGATCGAGGGGCTCAGGGAGGGGCTTACGCACATGATGAAGGAGCACGAGATACAGTACAGCATCAGCTCTGGAGTTGCGCGAGTCCTTCGCAGCGAGGTGGCCACGGCGCAGAACGAGCTAAGAGCTGGTCAACGCAAAGGCATCAAGTTTGAAGTAGTTTTCCAGGACCAAGAACATGTGGACGTTCAAGTCAAGGACGTTCCCACAGACCCTGACAATCCAGAGCGCAACGCTTCCCATGCATCAACAGGTCATGATCACCGAGTGCCAAAACCAGGGCACTGCGCAAGGTGCCACGAGCCTTTCACTGAGTACGAGATGGAGACCTTAGTGGGGTATGCTTGTGGTCATGTGTTCCATGTTAGCCATCTTCTGGAGATGCTACATGGGGGCAAGAAGGTCGATGTTGACCTAGGCAACGGTTCTGAGGAGGGAAGTCGGTATTCAGTAGGTATGAAGGTGATGAGGGCGCGACTGCTGAAAGACAAGATGAGAGGAGGTTGCCCTGTTTGTCATGTTAAAGAATGATGGCGATAGAATTTTAATTGTCAGCGGCAATGCACAGACGGCGTATAAAGAGGAGGTTAGTTTCAACTTAGCACCTTAGTCTGGATAGTTTCATGGCGTATATATGATCAAACAGATGGGATAAAGGCAAATGATAAGAGCAAACTCGAGTTCTTTTTAAAGGTACCTAAGTACAACATGTATTATGACCTTCACAAGGTTCTGCATAACAAAAAAAACACCATTCTTTGTGCCATCAATCTACTTTCAGCAGGCTCTTAAACCAACGACCATTGATAATCCATGTCAAGCCATCCAACACGATGCCTTCCTCTCTAGAGCGAAAGAAATATCCGAGTATAGAGTGAGTATGAATGCATGGGTAGCATGTCAAGTTGTGTTTAAAAGACGAGAGCGACAAGCATGACAGCAAGGCCAAGAGCGGCACCAGGTGCAAGCATCTTGGAGGCACCGCTGGCGGTAGGGGTGCCAGTGGGAGTGCCCTCACCAGTCTCTCCAGCGGAGGAAGGGTAGGCGTCAGTGGCAGTGCCAGAGCCAGAGACGGCAGTGTCGTAGCCAGTCTCGGAGTCAGTGACAATAGCAGTGTCGGTGACGACAGCAGTGTCAGTGACAGAAGGCCCCTCATAAGCGGTGGTGAGGCCGGTAGGGACGCCAGACATGCCGGTGTTGCTGACAGCAGAAGGGAGAGGGAGAGGAGCAGTGCCCTCGCCGTTGGAGGGGACAGGGACAGGGACCTGTCCGCCGGTAGAGACACCAGCAGGGGGGGAGTAGCCAGGCTGAGAGGGACCACCCGAGACGTCAGGGACACCAGGAACACTGGGAGCGCTGGGAACATCGGGAACGACGCTGGGGACGACATTGGTTCCAGAGGGAACAGGGACAACCTCAGTGAGAGAAGACATGCCCTGGCCGTGGTAAGAGGTATGTTCGCCGGCAGCAGAAGACTGGCCTCCTCCAATGGGGACGGAGGGAACGATAGTGGCGAAGATGAGGGACTGTCCACCGAAGGAGGTAGTGGTGATGCACTGGACCTCCTGGGTGGTGGTGCAGATGTTCAGGGTGTGGATGACAGTACCTTGAGAGACAAGTCGGTCAGTATATGTGTTAGTTGAAAGGATGGGAGCGAAGACCTACCATCAGTAGTTCCAACCCCATACTCGTAGGTGTAGGGAGCAGCGGTGGTGGTCTGAGCAGCTAGAGAATTATCAGCATCGATTATATAAAGAGCGAATATTGAGAGTGCGTACTCAGACAAGGGACACTTTCACCATTGGGGGAAGCCCCGGCGACAAGGGGAGCGCAGATGGCCAGGATGCTGGCAAGAACCTTGAGCTTGAGGACAGCCATCGTAACGGTAAGAGATCTGTTGTTTTCGAGAGAGGTTAACTGATGATTCTTTGGCGTGATAATGGAGAGGTGAGAAAGAAGAGCGAGGGAGAGAGGTGTGCTGGAGAGGTAAATGATGGAGGTGAAGAAGCACGAGCGCGAGAGAAGAATGCACAACCACTCGCGAATGCTCGATAATTATTGACAGGGATAGGAAGAAAGGGAGGAGAACAAGAGGATTAAATACTCACAGATTTGATCTTCGAAGATGTTGAAAGTGTGAGTGATTCAAGATGCAAATGATGATGCAAAGATGGTGTGTGATGAGATGTAACGATCGATGCAGAGAAAGGTTGAAGAAGAGGGAAAGAGAGGAGAGATGGTGAGGAAGAGAAGAAGAAATAGAAAAAGGGTCCGAAAGACGAGAAGGTTCTTTTTCTACCTCAGGGAAAGCGGAGATATAAATAATAAGAACAATCAGGCAGTTCCTGGCACTGACGAACAGCTGCGAGATTCTGGTTTCAAGGGGCAACGGGTTTGACAATAATAGAGATGAATAGGAAACACTGAATTAGTAGTGTCAGTGCCAGTGCCAGTGCCAGCCAGTGGAGGTTAGAGGAGGCAGCAGAAGGCTCAGCAACAGCCGTTATTTGGTGATACCGATTCTCGTTGCACCAGACGTCGTGTTGAGTGAGGCATCCCAATTCTTTTTGGTGTTGGCCCCTGAGATCGAGGTGAGGTCGCTCAGCAGAGGCGCCTGAACAATGGGAATGAGATTTCGTGATGAAACAGAGTCTTGTAAACCGTTTGTTGTGACTTTATCTTGATACGTTTGCTGGTGATTCAATAACTCGTGAGTATACGTCTGTCCTGAGGGTCTGTATGTGGGCTTGAACCGCCTTGCCAGGTACTCCATCAACCTCAGTGATACTCACATATTGGACACGCATACAACCTGCATCGAGTTCCGAAGTCACATATATCGTGTCGATCTATTACCACGAACAATACTATTCCCATTCCGTACCTAAAGCTCATATTCCTTCACCAGAGCCAGCACCCGGCCCTCTCTCTCTACCTACATCTAAAATTTTGCATCGCCATGTCTAATTACTTGCCACTGCACTTCTGAAGTACATCTTCTTTGCCTGAATATGCGATAGTGCGGCCTCCGTATCACGTTACAACCGCAGCGGCATCTCGCATTTCTGCACACAACATAAGCCATATCTGTTTGAGATAGATTGATCCTCAACCAGCATCTTAGCCCTAACTCCATATTCTAGACTCGAGATATATGCTGAGCAGCCCTGCAAGTCTCCCCTTGCTCAACATAAATATCATGCAGAACCCAGATTTCAAAGGTAATCTCACTCGAAATAACGCTGTGCTCTTGTCTTTCCAACACGTGTCTGGCCAGTGCACTTGTGCCGTGTCACTCGCCTGTGCTTCAGAGTGAGTACCCCATGAGAGGACAGAGCCCGTCTCCGAGCGAGGCAGAGGCAAATGTAGAAGAAGGGGGCCACAGGTTGAGGTTTGTCTAGGCGAAATCTGCGGGTTCTCGTAATAAAAGGGTGTGTCTCAGGGTCTTTTGCGTTGCCTGAGATGGTCGGGCAGATCAACTTGAGGTAAGGGCATCAAAGTATGTTGGTAAGGTAACAAGTGTGACTCTACAGTCTCTTTCTTTCATTCGAACGCCCCAAAGAATATCATCAACAGTTTTGCAGTCGGTTATTCATTCTTTGTGCTTTGCGCATTAATTGCAAGGCCGATAAGTGAAGCCAAATCACTGGTGTGGCAATATAGTCCAGAATAGTAGTATGAGAGGTAGGTAGACATTAGCAAATCATCGGTGTCATCATTGCATTGTCTTTTTCTTTTTATGTTTGGTCTCTAAACATTTGTTCTTCATGTAACAGATATGCGCTGTTTGTTGTTCACAATGATTCATGAACTATCTATTCCTCAATGACATGCTTCTTCATCCCCAGTCTATCCCTTCACTATAGGAATAACAAAGACGTGGAAAATACAGCATGGAAGAATATAGGACTAAAAGTAAATCATAATAATGTCGATACACTTGAAGCAAAGTGTTGACTGTTTCCATAAAAGCCATCACTCATCGCGGTATAGGGTAAGGAAGAGTGCAAAATGTCAAAAAGAGGATATTTGGTGGAATCTAGCCACCTGCAATGGACGAACAGGGAATCGAACCCTGGACCACTCCCAGATTGATGATTCGGTCGAATTATGCTAAGGGAGTATTATACCACTAAACCATTCGCCCGATTGAATGTTGGATAAAGAACAAATTGGCCATTATGATTGTTGCGTGCATCCTACAGATGGCCAAGGACCTCCTAAACAAGCTATCACATTTAGAAAGCCTTCCTATTCCTTGTAACAGGACTTTATATAACCCCGATACCAACAAAAAGAAGTATCGGGCGTAACCAAGTCAGTATTTGAGTGGACTTAGGAAACAACGTATGAGTAACCCCCAGGGTATTGACAGAGTCTTGTAACCAAATACTGCAAACAGTAGAAAAGATCAGAGAAATGAAACCATAAGATCGTAAAACATCATAAGGGCGTGGAGAATAAGGAAATTTGTGACGTTTGTATATCGATCAATCAACCTTCAAATAGTTGTCGTAATCGTCGTAGATGTCCAGTTGTCGATAGCACCGTAGTGACAAGGACCCCATAGGATACCACCATGACAAGCCGAGTCGTAAGGTCAGGGAGAGCCATCATCAAAACGGCCAGGCACAGAAAGCCCATAGAGAACCCATTTATAAGAGTTCGCAAAGGAATAAGTGGAGGAGATGTTTTCTGTGGTTGTACCTGATCACTTCCAGGGGAATTCGTTCTTGGCCCTCGAGGCAAAACGACGAGATCTGATGACTCAAGAAAGCGTGTTTCCTCTTCTATCAAAACTTGTCGTTGGTTTAGGAAGGTTTTGTAGGATTGGATATCGTCGTTCTTTGGGGCTGGTAGTTTCTGCATGTCTTCAAGAGACGAGATGGCGTTCCCTAAACGAATTAGACTCCGTTGTGTAAAAATCAGGGGCACTCACTATATTTACGAAGTAGGGTCTCAATCTCATGCACTACTCGATTCCTTTCCTGATGGATAGCATGCTTCGCTTCTCGTTCTTCTCGAAACGAGACACTCATATGTCCTCCATTCTTTGTGGTGATGGAATCCAAGTGTATCAACTCTTCTTCCAAGTCCCCAATTCGGTCTTGGTGATACAACAAGATACGGTGATGAAGCCAATCAAATCTTCGATATAGCGGCTGAATGCATGGCCCGGATTGCCCGGATAGTCTGGCTGCTATAGACGCATATCCATTCAGTGCTTCAACACGGAGGTCATCATTCTGCCCAGGCATCTGCTCGTCGGCTTCAGGGTGTTGCGGTTCGTACAAGGGAGGCTGATTGGCAAAGACGGGATCTAAAGCGGGACTTCTCTGGTTCGCATAGGCAAATCCGGAATGATAAGGGTGATCGACAGGTGGCAATCCTAACTGCTGAGGCGCAAACAGCTCTTGAGGTGGAGGGTAACCAGCGGGGGTTTGTGGCGGCCCCCAGTTTGCGTATGATACAGGACTGATAGGAGACTGAGGATAATTGGCAACGGCCACAGCTGTAGGAGCATATGGCGCCGCCGCGATTTGTCGCCCGTGGAGCGGAGTTTTGAAATAGCTTGATTCTGGGGAAGACGAGAACGCTTCGTGGGTAGCAGAGTTCGGACCGGGCCCTGAAGAAGATATACTACCAGGACGTGCTCCCTTAACCTTTAGGTTCCTTGCTTCCCTTGGCACCTTGCCCCGATTACCGTTAGTCTTGCTCACGGCTGTATCGTCGCTGGGCGTCAGTTGCGTAACGGCAGACCCGCTGACAGAACGTTGAACGGCTGGAGTGTACTCCATCTTGGATGCCGAACTCGGTGGTGTTGGGTATTGAGTGCCGCCTTCACTAAGTGATTGGCTGGTACTTTCTTCGTAATCTTCAACCGTAGACTGGTGAGATGTGGTTTCTTGAAGTGGCGGGCCTTCGGAAGAAGACCAGGAAGGCCTTGGTCGTTCTTGGGCTTGGTTGTTCATTGTGATTTGATGATAATAAACTGATGTTGACCGTTGAGTTTGGCCGTCCTTTTCTTTCGGAGTAATTCTTTTATTAAGATAGCTTGTTCAAAAACAGGAGCACTCGGAAGTTGAACCGAGGCGCGATTTATTAGTGATATCTTGTACGATATTGTTGAAGCGTATAGCCAAAGGTCTAGCGAGATGCTACTGTCTGGCAAGCTTGGTGTTCACCAACTGCTCAACACTGAAGCATAATGAACACTTCAGTTACAGCGATCGTGCACTATAACTCTAATACTGCCGAATAAAGTGTTGGACTAGATAGTGACACCGGGAACTGCTGCTGGATTCCGTGAGCAACCATAAGTATGTCAAGCCGGCAGTCAGATCTGATGTGGAAGCGTGGAAGCACACGTAATACAAGGAAAGGTTCCGATAACTTTCAATGGATAGAAGGGAGAAAGATTGCGGAGGAAGGATGAGTAAAAGGGAAGATCGACTTCAAGGCTTCCTGAAGTTTAAGCATGTATGAGGCGAGAATGATGATGATGGTGAGCTTGGCTCTCAAGAACAGTTCGCTCGATTGCCTTGTTTCAATAAAGGACAGCGGCGGCTGAGCCGCACACTCCGGCCTAGTACTTGAATTGACCATTGGAGTAAAAAGGAAAGATGGTGGGGGAGTGAGAGGGTGTTGGGTGGTATCAGTCAGTAACAATGACTACGTCGCATGTGAGATGGTGTTGAGCGCAGTCATCCAAGTCATGCGACAAGTACTCTCTGTACTACTTACTCGGTAGTCAATGGGGCAAAAAGAACATCTCACATTCTCCGGTACAGGGAATCGAACCCTGGGCTCCGCGGTACTGATCTCTCAAGTTATGAGAGCGCGAAATGTTAGCCACTACACCATACCGGATGTTGCTTGAAGAAAATGGTGGAATTTGAAAATATGATAATCGTGACAAGATGAAAGCTGCCAAGTGGGGCCATGCACGTGCACTGGAATAACCGGCATGTTCCGCTATTGATGTGCATGGCTCCACCAAAGCTATCAACGGAAAAGAAGCCTCAATAATTCTTGAGACACCTCCAATTAATCCATTGAATTGGTATATTTCCGATAGACGCCATTTTGAGGCCCTGGTATGATGATGAACTTATAATCAGCCTCCATTGTGCTGCCAAGTCACAACGCATTACCACCGCAACCCTCCGTTCCGTCCCTCCAATAGAACCACCACACCAACCTAGTTCGATGTGCGATACCAGCCAAATCTTACAATCAACGGTCTGAGCTTAAAAGCCAGCACGAATTAATCGACTGGGCTGAAATAGCCACTATTTCTCGACCATCTTGACCCTGTTTCTGTCTCCGAAGCCCCTGCCTGCACTTACTACCACCATGTCACGCATACCGACCTCTGTCTTAAGCAAGTACCTGCTGAAAGGGCAAATATCCCGGCAAGGCTGCATTGGTGCGCGCCATATATCAAGACGCCCTACGTTACCTTCAGCAGCCGCCTCTATAGTCCATACGACCAGGCTGTTGCACGTTTCGCCTGAAGCTGTCACACCACCTCTTCCACAGGCAGTACCGTTACGGAAGCAATTGAAGGAAGATGCGAAGAAGGCAAAGAAACTGGGAAAGAAAAAGTCAAAGGGTGATTCTCAGACTGTGGATGGTTGGGAGCTGACAGTGGGTATCGAAATACACGCCCAGTTGAACACCGCCCATAAGCTATTCTCACCAGCTGTTACGTCTTTCAACGACGAGCCCAACAGTCATGTTGCTCTTTTTGACCTTGCCATGCCTGGCAGTCAGCCCTTGTTCCAAAAGGAAACTCTGATTCCTGCTTTGCGCGCAGCGTTGGCCTTGAATTGCGACATTCAAGAGGTTAGTCGATTTGATCGAAAACACTATTTCTGGTGGGATCAACCGTCTGGGTATCAGGTCACTCAATATTATGAACCCTTTGCCAAGAATGGACACATCACTCTCCTTGCTCGAGATGGAATCTCTCCTCAGGATGGTGAAAGTGTTACGATAGGAATCAAGCAGGTCCAGCTTGAGCAGGATACGGCAAAGACGATTGCTCAGACTAATAAAGTTCAATGGCTCGATTTCAATCGTGTAGGTGTCCCTCTAATTGAGATCATCACCGAGCCTGAGCTTCACCACCCCCGCACTGCTGCCGTTCTTGTGCGAAAGATCCAGCTTCTCTTAAATACTGTCGATGCCTGCGTCTCAGGCATGGAAACGGGAGGTCTGCGAGCAGACGTCAACGTTTCTGTTCGCAGGACTGACGGATCCAACCCATCCCTCGGAACGAGAACTGAGATAAAGAATCTAAGCACTATTAAAGCCGTTGAGGACGCCATTATCGCGGAGCGCGACCGTCAGATTCGTGAGCTGGATGCTGGACGCCCCATTCCTAGTGAGACTCGCGGCTGGGCCATTGGATCTACGGAAACACGGCGACTCCGTGGAAAGGAGGGCGAAGTGGATTATCGATACATGCCTGACCCTGATATTGCGCCTCTTGTCATCGGAAACGATCTTGTAGGCCACCTACGGGAATCACTGGCTGTCACTCCTGACTCGGAGCTGGATACCCTCATTGCTCGATTCGGCCTTACAGCCAAGGATGCATTGTCTCTGATCAACCTGGAGAACGGTTCACGTGTTCAATACTATTACAAAGTTCTTCACTCTATCCAGAGCAGGCTCGCGGAAGAGCTCAGTGAAGCTGAGTTGCCTGAGTTTAAGAGCTATTCTGCTGTGGTCGGCAACTGGATTATCCATGAACTTGGCCGCCTGACTACCTACAAGGCAGGTCCACTTGCAGCCCGTGACCTGACATTCACACCAGAAGGCGATTGCGAGCAGGTCCCTGACTCAGACCTGTCACAGCTTCTTTATCACCTGATCCGCAAACAGATCACAGGCAAGGTAGCCAAAGAGCTCCTTTTCGCTATCTATTTGAAGGAGATTGAGGGTGGAGTCACCCAGGCCATCGAAGAGAATGATCTGTGGTTCAAGGAGATTGCAGAGGAAGAGTATGAACAACTAGCCGACGAGGCTATGGAGGGCGAAGATAAGATCCTGCAGGAGTTTGTCGACTCTGAGAAGTTCCCTCAGGGCAAACTCATGTTCCTCGTGGGCAAGATGATGCGTCTTGGACCTACTGAACGC